TTTTTTCGCCTGAATCATATATCTTGTTTGCTGCAAAGGTTTTTGCGCGTCTGTGTTACCGAAAATGTTCAATTAAACGCCGACGTGAGCGAATAACGAGATATCAATTGTTAACCGATTTTTTCAGATGTTTGACTGTTTAGTGTCACTCATCGCTGATTTGGTTTTAACATACATACATACATACATACATACATACATACATACATACATACATACATACATACATACATACATACATACATACATACATACATACATACATACATACATACATACATACATACATACAAACAAACATACATACATACATATATACATACAAAAAAATAAAAATAAACTATACATACATACAAAAAAAAAAACTATAAGGGGAGAGATTGGGCCAAAGTTTGCTGCAATAGTTGTCTCCTCCCACACTGTTACCTAGGTTTTTGTATTCACTCATTCACTCATTTGTTCACTCATTCATTCTTTCATCAATAAAAAAAAGAATAGAAAAAAAAATAAATAAAAGTTGAAAAAGTTATATATATTTTCCAATGGTTAAATATTTAAAGATAATTCAGTCATTCATCCGTTCGCTCGTTCATTCATTCCGTCACTCATTCATGTATTCGTTCATTCATCCATTCGTTTGGTTGTTTATTCATTCATTCATTCATTCATTTATTCACTCACTCATTCATTCTTTTTTTTCCTCACTCGTCCGTTCAGTAATTAGCTCATTCATTCCCCCATCATTCACTCATTCATTCGTTTGTTAGCTGGCCCGTTCATTTGGTCATTCGCTGGTTCATCCATTCATTCATCCATCCACCCCACTTGGTTTGTTTCCTTTCCTTCGTTTCTTGGTTGTTTTTAATCACATATGGCTCCAACGTTACAACAGTGCCCCGTCTGCTTTACCCACTTTAGAAGCACTCCAGACGGGAGTTATGTCGGCACGGAGGTAAAGTGAAAGGACAGGAATGCTCGGGGTCCCGGAAAAAAGTTGATCCATCTGGCGCGGGGGCTGCTTCGCCTCTTGGTGCCGCACCCGACCCCAAGCCTAGGTTGCCCACACGGCCGACGGCCGCATCGGTCTCCAGTGATCCTCTCTTTCTGGATTACTCTGGTGTTTTTGACAAGCTGACGGCCGTGCTGAAATGTGTACCGGTGTACGACCATATCCCTAAGCCATGCAGGAAAACTGACGGCTGTTTGTAATGACCCTGGTGACCCGGCTCACTGGGTTAGACTCCACTGTTTTGTCCCATACGTCTTACAGGAAGACTTCCAGAGGGGGTCGCCGGGTCAACCAGGGCAATCCGGTCAACAAGCGTCTAAGCGAATATTCAACTATTGGTCTTGAAACCCTGGTACTGTGCTTTGATGGGTTCAATAATGCCAAATCACAAAAGCACAACCCCGATTGGTGGATCAACGCTGTGTCATCTTGTATTGAACAGGGAAACCTGTCCTCGGCTGTTCACTTGTCTGTTTGCCGGAGGGCCTGGCGGAGAGCTCGCCGGCCACCTTCGATAGATTATGTTCCTTCCACCCAAAAATTCCGGTGGACAGGCGGGTCTTTCTCGCATTGACACCAACGGCTGGTTGCGTTTCTCCCGCCGAGGTGCTGAGGGCCGTTAAATCGTTCAAAATCGGTTCTTCTGGAGGCCTGGATGGCCTACCACCCCAGCACCTTAAGGATGTTTTTTTAGGCCCCTTGCCAATCGACGACACACTGAACTTCTTAATCCAATTCATTAATTTGATCCTATCTGGAGCTTGCCCACTCTCCGTTCGCCGGTTCTTTTTTGGAGGCCGGCTAATAGCTTTAAATAAGAAAGATGGAGGGGTCAGACCGATTGCGGTCGAGAACGTTTGGAGGAGGTTGGCCGGCAAATGTGCCTTGGCCCTGGTCGCGGTCGAACTCAAGACCAAATTCTACCCGACTCAGTTGGGTGTCGAGATTAAGGGTGGCGCTAAGGCCGCTGTTCAGGCGGTTCGAAGATTGGTCACCGACCTCCCCGATCAATGGGGTTTTTGAAACTGGATTTTAAAAATGTCTTCAATGCCATGGGAAGAGACTCGATGTTGGAGGCTGTCAAACTTTTTTGCCCCAATATCAATAATTTTTGCCATTCTGCCTATGGCGGAGTCTCTTTTCTTGGCTTCCACTCTTGGGTTGTAGAATCGGCCGAGGAGGTACAGCAGGGTGATCCCCTTGGTCCTTTGCTGTTCGCACTAACTCTGCATCCACTCTTAGAGAAAGCTTCGTCCACTTTCGTTTGCGCTTATCTGGATGATATCAGCATTGCTTCGGACGGCCCAACTCTGGCCGATAGCTACGAATATTTGAAGCATAACTCCGCTGCAATTGGTTTAGAGTTAAACATTAAAAAATGCGAACTTCACTGCCAAAGTTTATTTCAGGTGCCACATGCGCTGGCTGGAATACCCAGAGTTGGTGCATCAGAACTGAGTTTTTTAGGCACACCCTTGGTCGAGGGCGATTATCAAATAAAGTTTTTTGACCAAAAGCTCTCTGAGCTTAAATTCGCCCTGGGTCGTGTTTCCTGTCTTTTGGCCCATGCTGCCTTGACTATTATCCGCAATGCCCTCAGTTTGCTCAAATTGATGTACTTCCTGCGTACATCCAAACACATTGACCCTTCTAAATTGGGCGAATTTGACGGAGCCCTGCGCACCACCCTGTCGTCGATTTGCAATGTTCAAGTGACCGACAGTGGTTGGTCCCAGGCTCAGCTGCCGGTGCGATTTGGTGGGCTGGGGTTGCTTAGCGTGGTTCAGCTGGCTCCCGTTGTTTATAATTCTTCTGCCGCTGCCACTCTCGACCTGCAGTCTTCCCTGCTCCACCGGTTTTTTCGTTGCCGCGATATTCTTCCCCCAGTGTCCGCCCCGGGAGACCGTACGCACGTCCAAATTTTGAACGAAGAATATAAAAAAATCTTTCAAAATTTGTTGTCTTCATGTGGCGACGACTTTTCCACCGCTCGTTTGTTGGCCATATCCAGCGTTGCCAGCTGTGGGTGGTTGAAATCGTGGCCCAACACCTCTGTGGGCACCAGGCTTGACGACGAGTCTGTGAGATTTGCCATTGGCTTCAGACTTGGCCTGGTCATTCAGAATAAATACACGTGCCGATGTGGCGCTGGGGCGGACGAGTTTGGGCACCACGGTTTGGTTTGTCGCCTGGGTGGGGGCCGTCAACTACGTCACTCAGCGCTAAACGAATACATTTGTCGGCTCTTCTCCAAGGCTTCAATCCCGGTTCTCAAGGAACCATCCGGCATTTCTGCGCATGATGGTAGGCGCCCGGACGGATGCACACTAATACCTTGGAGAGCCGGCAAATGTTTGGCGTGGGATGTTACGGTCCCTGGCACCCTCGCCGAACGATACGTAAACCTGACAAGTAAAGAATGCGGTTTGGCCGCGGCCAGGGCAGCGGACGAGAAAATGAAAAAATATGGAA